TTCAGGACAGTTCCAAAGCAAACAAGAAAAGGACCATCTAAAGAAACTCATGGATTAAGCCTAATGAACTTTGGTAAGCATCCAAATCCCTAAGAAAAAGCATGCTTTTAAAATAATTTTTTTGTAACTCCACATCACTGCAAAGTAAAAGATGCTGAACAAAGTAAAACAGTTTTATGCATTGATAGAAATCAAAGTTTCATCCACATCAGTGTTCTGTAGCACCTATATAAAATTTGCAGGCAACCTTGATTTTTCTTGGACACTTCAGTCTTGTCGTGCTCTTTGTGCTGCATTTGTTCACTTAGTACTTTTTTATAGTCTGCTGTTTCCCTGCTGAGGTGTTTTACATTCTCCTCCGCCTGAAGCCGTTCCAATTCCAGTCGATGAATTTTTTCCTGGAGATTCTTCAGAGCAGAAAATATTGCTGTAATTGAACAAGTACTTGTTGTGAGGTACCATTAAATTACCACTTCAAGATAAGATCGGACATGAAACACTTATAAAAATGTGTTATGTAAGAAAGTCAGAGTGTTTCTTACCAGCATCCAAGACTCCTTCCAGGAATTCAGACCTGCTTCCCTTTCAACCATAACTGAATCTAAAGCTAATCTCAAACGAACAGATGCCCTTGGTGCACACCTTATCTGAAACATTCAGGAAAGATGCATCCAATTCCCAGAACAAGGCACATAAATGTTCTGTGGATGAAGTGTAAACAGTGCATCTTCTGACTCTTTGTCAAAAAGAAATGAAAGGCCCAACTACAGAGTTAAAAGAGCGGCAGATCTCTACACTATAATTCCTTTACAAGTGCATGCTAGCACAACAAATACACAACCACAATGTTCCTATGAACAGTCACAGGGCAGAATAAAGGTTAGATATCAGAAGGGCTAGAAAAGTGTTTATTTCTGAAAGTGGTAGCTCTTTGTTGATTCTTCTGGTTTTCCACTTGTGTTCCGCACTGCCCCCCCTCCCCCAAGACATGCATCTCCTTTGTGCTGAACAACTTTCCCTCTTTCTGTTCCAGTCCCTGCTTTGATAATTGCTCAACAAAACCTTTATAGATTAATCACCACAGAAAGAAAAGCAGTTGTAATAGAACTCACAGCACCTTGCAATTAGACCATCTGCTGGTAATCTGATGTATTACGTCTCCTAGCTGTATTGTCCAGTTCTGCAAAGGGAGCCCTAACCATTAGCCCTTTCCCCACACACTCCTGTTAAACACAGGAACATCTGTACAGACAGCTCACATAGCAGGCTAATCCATGAGGTCATGTTAGCCTGCTCCTTTGTGCTTAAATCCAGGCTAAAGAATGCACCTTTAGTACAGAATGCAGAAGCACAAGGGAGGTTGGGACTGCGTGTCTGCTTGAGCATCAGATTGTCAAAAAAGAGGAAAAATAGTAATAATGAATTTTCCAGAGTAAAAACTCCTCAAATCCTGAAATGCTGAATAGCATGTTAGAGTACCACACCAATAAAAATTACCTGACTTAAGGTATCTGTTACATAAATAAGTGGGTGTCAGCAATCACAGTTAAGGGGAACGTTATCAATGACTTGGCCCTGTTTGCAAGATCAGAGTCACCAGCTGTACCCTCTTCTCTATTACTGCTATCAGGATTCAGCTGAAATGGGCACAGCTGAAACCATTAACGGCTTTGTTACTATTAGCCTGAGAGCTAAACTGAAATCTGTGTATTTACCATAATGACTAACAAAATACAGCAATGAAGCAGTTGAAGCAATGAATATACAACAGTGAAGCCCAACAGGATGCCAATATCACTGCCATCCTTCTTAGAGTATGAAAACCCACTGCATATACGCCAAGACACATACAACACACAAATTCAAACCAAAATGAGCAGAATTTACTATACTCTAGGATTTCTCAGTATCATTTTTTAAAAACTGGGAGGTCAGCAGGGCAGTAAGGACCCTCAAGAACAAGCAAAGCTATTTTCCCATCTGAAGATAATTCCCATAACCTTAAACTTACTAAAATCCACACTCTAGAACAATTCTGCATTTTTAAAAGCTATGCAAAAAGAGTATGAAATTGGATCATCTGCCTGTTGGATTTAATTTTCAGTAGGTATTCATATTTACAACATTTTTTTGAAAATAAAGGCACTCTAAATTTTTAAAAAGGGATACAATTTATCAGCTTGACTCCCTCCACCCATACTTATTTCGGAGTTGGCAAATTCCCTACTTTAAAAAAGTTGCCAAGTGAAAACTTGGAAGTCAAAAATTTGTCACTATCGCAACACACTACACAATCCACAAAAACAGACCTGCATCAGTAATTCATAAGGAAGCTCTTTCCTGTACATCCAATTTTCTATCTGTTGCAAGGTTCCCTTAGTTTTGTGTCAGCAGCATTCTCAAAGCTGATGGCATTGAGCACATGAGAGCATACTCTGCATTTTAAACAGCACTTCAGGAGTTGAGGTTTCATTTACTAGGTCATTAACGTAGAAGGCTCTGGTCATTCGGGCCTGAATTATGTTACTGGAACATAATTCACCTATCATGCTGATTTTTTATGTAAGTTTGAATAATATTAGGATTCATCCTAAATCTTTCTCCCCATAAGGAAAAACAAATGTCAAGTTTTTTTATACCTTTAAGTCTCCTGTTTTAAAGGGAGCATTTTCGCAATGACCCCGAGCCAAACAGCTCACATCAAAGGATCGATCCCACTCTAGCTTCCCAACTCCCCGTGCTGCCTCCTGTCTTTACCTCAAGGCAGCTCTGACAAGCCAACTCACTGACATAAGAGACAACTAACCAAGAATGTTTTTGTTCATGCCAAGTCGAATCTGTTCGTCTGGAGATGAACATTAGGACCAGAGTGGGAAAGGAGGGAGAAGGAATATCCTAGAAACAAGGAAGAATACATGGAAATAACATCTCCTCCCTTTCTGGCGTTGTGATCCCTGTTCAGCACTATGCTGCACAGCACTCTATGTGCTCTAAGTCTGCACTGGTAGGATAAATAATTCTCACGACGCCCTTGGGCCATGACAAGGCTTCCAATTTCATCGGCACCAAACCTCCTCCTGTGCTCCAAACCATTCTGAGGACTAAGGACAACTTATTTCAAACTCAGCTGTGAACTCAGGAGAAGAAAGACTGAGGGAGAGGAGGGCTGGGAAAGGTGCAAAAAAAAAAAAACAAAACCCTCACATCAGGACAATTTCAGAGAGTACTCAGACACCCTTACAGCTCTCTACTACTGGAGAGGAGCACCCTTCTCCAGCTGTAGGATTACCTGTTTCAGTAGGTGTTCTTCAGAAGAAGCGCAAAGGACCTACAAAACAGGTGACCTGCACATCACTGGGAAGTGATGAAAGGATTAAAAGGCCTCAACCTTTGTGGTTGTTGACAGAGTATGTCACCACGTGATTTGGAAACAGGTAAGAAAAGCTTGGCTGAACTATTACCTCTGCTGTTGCTTTCAGGATATGCAATTACTGGTTTCCGTGGGGAGCGCAGCAAATCTGAATTAATAAACGGCTTGTACTTTGGATATTCTATAAATGATGTTGCAGAAAATCCATCTGTGGCTGATGCAGAGTTAGGAGTTCTGTGCAGATCATCCTGAAAGTATAACAAAGCAGTTATTCAGCACATTTGTTTCTCTGTCACAACAAAGTAGAATCCAATTAGAAGATGTATACAAGTATTGCTGCAGGAGACCAATACCTCAAAACCTGTAAAAAACTTCCTTACAGCCTTGGCTATGTCATTTTTACACCCAACTCCCCTCTGCTAAAAACTGCATCAGAAAGACAGTGTCTTTTCCATCCTAGTTTCTGATTTCCACTTCTGTTTTCTACTTACTTACACTGTCTCTTGCTTATTGTGACAAGGTAATGCACCAGTCAGTTGGCAAATAGCCACCTTCTTAACTACTGATGATGCTGCACACAAGATGCTGTACTAAGGTGGCCAAACCTGAAAAAGACAGCCAGGACCACTGTTCTACATCCACCCATCTACTGTAATGGCTCACTGACTGCAGATGGGGCAGAGGACATGCTCTGTCCTCACCTCACCCTCGCAGCTGCATAGTCCCAACCCCGCTTTTCCACTGGCTGCAATTCATCTTTCCCATCCTTCCGTGAACAGGCTGAACCTCACCAGCAGACATAACTGGATAACTTTACACTGCACGCGATTAGTGGTACCAGCGCAAGAAAAGCGGCAGCATATCACGGCCAGGAAGGTACCTCTGAGCAGTAGCGTGCTGTTACATCACTTTGAGACGGTTCTCAGCAACACAGCCACCGAGACCACGGATCTCCCAGCAGTCCACATCAACCTCCCACACATCTGCTGTGTGTTGGATGCTGTGGTGACCAGCGGGGACCACCTAGCTGTGCCCAGGCTGTGCAGTCGGGGTAGCATTACACCATGCGCTTCCTAACAAGACTCTTCTAAGCAAAAGGACCACAGCACTGTGTCTGTGGGTTTGACTCAGGAGCTGGCTACCCAGCCTAAGCCTTCTGATTCGTGTATATGAGTTAAATAAAACATGAATGCTTACTTTTAACGTGCAAGAGTAATTTCTCTCAACTGTACCCACCACTGAACATTTCAGTACCAGAATCTGAAGGTAAGCTGAGAGAAGAGGGTTGTGGGCAGATGCAACGCTCCTACACCTTTCATGTCAGACACCTCTGACAACTGAGCAGTCGCTGATCTTGGCAGGGGTTTTTAAGCTTTTGCAAATAACAACTATTGTGAGCATACTGTGACCTAAACTAAGATACAGAAAGTATTTATATAAGTATCTCACGGCAAATTAGACAACATTCCAAAATGCATTATGGAAAAGAAAAATAATGCAGGGGGAAAAAAAATGCAAATTATTTAAAACCTATAGAGATCTCACTTCTTCTTGGCAACAAAGTGATCCATTGTGGACAAGAAAATTAGGACCCTAAGTACCCTGAACGTATCCATCAGTGTTTCTGAGCAGTTTTATGAATGCTTTGCAGCTTGTGTTTATAACGTTTTCTGACACAAGTGCTTTTCTTAGAATAACTGCATTTGCACAAGAACATTTGCTGTCACAGAAAGCCAGTTAGAACACTAATCCCTAATTAAGGATACAGTAATGAATATTTTGAACAGATTTTGTGTATGCATGCATATAGACACTGGTTTATGCTCAGCAGCCATGCAGGTCTAACTTTGTAGAATATGAAATTTTAAAATGGGATAAGACTGTTAGGTGCCAACATCAAGAGCTAAACCTCACTCCTGCAAAAATACCATCAGCCTTACGGGATGCTGACTTGCTGAACACAGGACAATGGGTAAAAACAAGTAACAGCGTAAAATTGAACTGAGCACAAGACGGTACTTTATGCAGCAGGCAATAGAACAGCAGCAGCAACAGAAGCCTCAGCAACCCAAACAACAGTTAACTGTTGATGCAAATACCAATCTGCTATTTTCATCTGCTATTGATTCAAATCAAAGGTATCACATGAAATTGATTTCAAACCGATTCCCCTTTTCTTTCATCTAAGTAGGACTACCCGCATCACAATTTTCTTAACGTCTTTTTAATTCACCTGTAAAATCTTGCCTATAAATTAAAAATAACTACATAGCAAAACCCAAATTAGGGCGTTTAACTGGCATAAGTAACATTTTTATAGCCTACAGCAGACTAACAGAAAGAAAAAAGCAAGCATGCTCAAACACTTAAACACCAAGTTATACAAAACAAAATCAATGCAGGCTTTCAATTAGTGGCACATCTTCTAAATTCCCCCTGGATGCAGGGTACAGGCACTGATATGAAATAAATACCAAAAAACATGTGCTGAAATACTGCCTATCCTATAGGCAATCGTTCTTTGCTTCAGTCTAAAACCACTTGCTACCAGATATACTTTCCTCATATGTTTAAGAAAAAGACTGGTTTATATTCTCTTTCACAAAGAGTGACTTCTAAATACAGCTGAATAAAAAAATTGAGAAAGTTTATGAAACAGCAAAAAGTAACTTCACATGACAAATCTCAGACTCAAATATCAGACTAATTCTTTACTCTTTGCTTCCTCTCAAGTAGTTAAAAATCATAATTAAGTCTGCTCCTGCTTTTCAAAATTCTCACAGGGAGCAACACAGCGTGATGCTCAGGAAAATCCTGAAACATAAAAAAAAACATATGAAAACCAGGGAACCCTACACATTCAATCTGAATCCCACCTAGGCCATGTTTACTAACTAATTCTCCTCTCTTTCTGGGTACTCCCTGTAGTCTTTCCTTCTTTAAGCCACACAAAAGCCTCTCAACAGTGAAGGAAGCAGCTCAGCAGTCCCACAAAGGGATAAGCGCTCCAGCATTACATAACGGTAGGGAACTGAGCACACTTAATCCTCACAGGTCTGAGGACATCACCTTCCCAAACCCATTGCTGCTACCGTTGTGTATCACCCGCCAACTCAGACATGAAAATGGGAACATTAAAAACACAGAGCAGTGACAACACACCAGCGGCATAGGGGACCTCCTGAAACTCCCAAAGACTAAACTCAGTGGGGAAAAAATAAAAGACACAAGTTCAAATGTAAAGTTTTAAAATAAGAATCAGCAACTTAGGGCAGAGGGACACTTTTCAAACCAGAAACTTGTGCAGATGGTAAAGACAACCCAGCATAACACAGTTACTTCTGTGATGCAGAAAAGAAATACAGCACACCATGAAAAACTAAGTAAATAAGACTATTAACCTCAGCTTTTCTTGTTATCCTACACAATTTGACTGCAGAGTGAAAATAAGAATGCTTATAAACAAACTGTAGAACCAAAGAGGCATGAAAATGCAGAGTTTCTTGGGCAGTAACTGCAGGAAGAAAGCACAAGGGCACAGGCAGTGCCTTTGGTGCCAACACTTTGGCACTGGGAAAAGGGACTAAATTAGTGGGTGCTATTGCATGTTTTTATATTGCTCAGGACAGGAAAAAACATAACAGAAAAAAAACTTGATGAGTGGTAATGCTCTAAGCGACACAGAGTAGTCCTTATGCTCAGCGAACAAAAAAAGCCAAAACCAGAAAATAGAAACAGTAGAAAATTATTGGAGGGACTGGGAAAAAGAAAACCAGAATAACCAGGTGTTGAGTTCACTGAGCATAAAATCTCCAAGTACCCAATTATTAAAACTTTCAACATATCTATTTTGGAGGGACTCAAACTCAGTTAATTCCCTGCCCCCATCTCTCAGTACTGCATTACTCAGAGGGTGGGGAGGCCCCTATCACCCAGAGGCCAACCCAAGTGCTGTCTGTGGTCCCTGATACAGGATGAATGAGGAGTGCTCTAAATTTAGATAACTTCTCTAGCTGAAAGGAGATGTTAAAAAGTTAACTTAATCCAGCAAGTACTCCTTTTTTTTCTTTTTTCAACACATACAACAAAGTCTTTGGCAGGCAGCTTTTCTCCTAAAAGTTTTGGTCTACTGACTAAACAGCTTACATTCATCTGCTTAAGACTAAGACTAGTTTTCTGACATCTTTCTCTATTCATGCTAGGAAAACACCAGTCAGGAAGGATATAGGAGTCTTCAAATCACTCCATCACCACTCTTGCTGGTGCAGGTGTAAACATGAGACCACACTGCAGAGAAGAGACACAGAACTGAGAACACCAAACCGGGTGCTCACCAGGCAGCTATTGAGACCCCACATCATCATTCTGTGCCCTTTTCACTATCTGTACTACACCGTAAGATGTGGCCACTTGCAAAGTAAAAAAGCAACCAAAAAACCCACTTGACTTCAGAGAGCTACAAACATGAAACCAAGTAACAAACAAGATACCCGAGTGGAAACGCTTTTGGGGTGATTATCTGATGGAGGCAGGCAGCCTCCATCTGCCCAGCTCTGCACAGCCCACTGTGCTCACTCCAGGCAAGCCTTCATTTCTTCAGCTGTCACAAGCAGCAACACAGGTCTCATTGCTTCTCAACGCTCAGCACCTTCAGAGGAAGGTGGATGAGGGAATCCCCTGCATGCAATCACCTATGTGTTACCTCCAAAGCAGCCAGGTGCTCATGCACACGCTAAGGATACATGTATATGCCAGTTATGTTGAGGTTTAAGGCAACGTTTTCACCTTGCAGATGGCAGGGAGCGGGTGTTAGGATCAGTAGCCACTCGAAACGGCAGCTGGCTGTGCTAGCCTAGCCTAACTGAAACGGCATTGCCGGCCTCTTCTGGCTTTGAAATAGGCGCTTTCAAAGTCACGACCCTAAATTACTCCTGAAAACAAACTGAATTATAAAGTTTCATTCACATTCGTTTACAAATTTACTCTCCAGACACGGGCACGGCGACAGCAAAGGGGCTGGTTTAAACAGCGGAATAGCTTTCTTCTTGTCCGTCCCTGTTACAAAGCCGGCGGGCACACGCGGTGAGCTGTGAACACATATAACGCATTTAAAAGGCAAGAGAGCTTTCACCGCTGGCACTGTCGCGGCACGCCGGGGACGGGCAGGCCGCCCTCCCCGCACCGCC